CTCTAACAATGCCAAAATAGGTTTCTCATGCAAATGCCCTTAACGAGAGAACAAAGGGATGGAAAAATCCGAAAACCTATCACGTACACACTGAATGTTCTTTACATTACCCAGTTCCAGTCTGAGAGCATTATTATTACTATTTTGTTTTAAAGGAATCTTATATACTAGAACCCTTCTTGATTCTGCCTTCTCTTTGGGATGAAGTATAAATGCAGCCATGCTCTTACTAGGGGCCTCCCTGGCGCTCAGACCACACATCACCCTGGATGGCCTCAATGGACCATCGTGCTTTGATTGAATGGATGCCGTGGTTGAAAGGATTTTCTCAATCACCTGCCTTTATCTACACGTACTGCAATTATACATGAAAATCAATCTAGCGTTCTTTGGGAAACCCTTAGCCTGGCAGGGGCATTTCCCTAGGACAGGGTGTATGGGCTCCAGTGTCCCTAAGCCACCCCCCCACACATCCTTTCTGACATAGGGGGCTCTTTATGCCCCCTACCTGCGCCCCTAACTCTGCAGGTAGTTAGGTTTTTATTTTTTAAAGAAATTGTATTTTTCTCCATCCCTCCCTCCCTTCCTCCCCCCTCCCTCCCCCCCCTCTGTATATGTGCCAGTCCTAGGGCTTGAATTTAGGACCTGAGCACTCTCCCTGAGATTTTGTGCTCCAGGCTAGTGCTCTACCACTTTGAGCCCTCCTCCACTCCTGGCCTCTCTGGTGGAGAGATAAGAGTCTCATGAACTTTCTTGCTAGGGTTGGCTTTGAACCCTGAACCTTAAACCTCAGTCCCCTGAGTAGCCAGGATTACAGGCGTGAGCCACTGACGTCCAGCAAGTTTTATTATCTTTAAGTAGTTTTACAAGAGGTTTCATTTCAACATGTCAGACTCTAAGTACAATGGCCCTCAATCAATGTCACTCCTATCATCATTTCCCCCCTACCTCTCCAGTGCCATCCATCCCCTCAATTTACCTAGCTCCATTTTCACATATGTCCATTGGATATTATGACTTCCTCTCTCCATTCGTCTGCCTTCCTCCCTGACCTCACCCATCTCCCAACAACACAGCTTCCTGGTATGCATTTTGCTAGGCTGTCAGTTGTTCAAAGGAGTTACGCCATTGCAGTCCTCGCCTGTGTACATCACACGGCAGCCAATGGATTTCTGCAGCAAGCTCGTGGTGCCCCACCTCTGACCTGTGCTTCCGCAGAATTTTACTAGGAATGCAAAGGAAGTGTTCCAGTGTGGATGCGAGCACGCTGCCTGCTCCCACGTGCCCACGGCCCCCAGCTGGACCAGGTGCTGCTTCTGATTCTAAACTTGGGCCACACACTGTCCTACTCTCCCTTTACTGCTGGCAACTCCTCCCTGGGAGCAGTCCAAATCCTGCCGCCCCCAGACAGAGACTCCCCTATTCTTATTTCCAAGGATCTCATGACAAGCCCCACTGGGGAGACCCTGACCACCACCCCAATCTCTGCCCTCCTCATATGATTTCTGTTAGGTGGGAGTCCCCTGAGGGGCAGGGGGCGGAGTCTATTATTCACTGGGAGGGATGGGGAAGGGAGGGATGGGGAGGGGAAGGATCTTACAGGGCCTGGGTTCTTTGTACGCCTTTAGATCTGCACCGGAAGCCAAGCCATCCCTTCATGTTCTCTGGTCTTAGAGATTTCTGGGCCATGGAGTAGAGGCTAGGGATTGCCCAGACAGTTCCTGACTTTGCTCTAGAAGGTCTGGGCCTAGTGGTGGTGGAATGCTTGGTTGTTCTGAGTCAGTGCCACAACAGGCCAGCCTGATGCTCCCACAGTGCCTTGCGTGCCTTCATGACCAGGGCCTGCTGTCACTGAGCTGTCTCTCCATGTTCTCAGGCCCAGGGATCACAAAGGGGCAGAAACTTTTACTTATCTGATCTCTCCCTCCTCTTTTTCATCATATTAGGAGAATATTCACAGTTAGAAAAAGTCTCTTTCCCAGCTTCCCACCTACCAGGCAGTGGCTAGGAAGGTTTAAGTGGAAGTCATTGAATATAGCTTTTGGAAAAGATTTTTCTCTTCCTTGTTTTTCTTCCTTTCCTTTCCTTCCTTCTTTCTTTTCTGTTTTCTTTTTCTTTTTCTTTTTTCGGTACCACTTCTGGAATTTAAACTCAGGGCCAAGGTGCCATCCCTTAGCTTTGTTTGCTCAAGGCTGGCACTCTACCACTTGAGCCACAGCTCTACTTCTGACGTTTTGTCAACAGATTGGAAATAAGAGTCTGAAAAACTTTTCTGCTCAAGCTGGCTTCACATTACAGTCCTCAGGTCTCAGCCTCCTGAGTAGCTAGGATTACAGGTGTGAGTGAGCTTCCAGTGTTTCATGTGGGAAAGCTTTTAAAGGTATTTAATTCATCTGGTAGTGACTTTCCTTCCTTCTTCCTTCTTGCTGCCTAGAAGCTGATCAAGATGGCTGGATTTTGAGCAGCCATTCTGTGACCAGAATGTAATCCTGGGTCTAGCAGGACATACTTGGGCTTGATGGGAAGAACGATGATGTCTGGGACAGAGATTATACTGGGGAGTCATCAGCCAATCCCATTGTCAATTTGCCCATTACATGAGAGAAAACTATTATCCCTAAGCCATTTGCAGAAGGTTGTTTGTCTTATTACTGAGAGCCAAATGCAGTTATGAAATTAGTTGAAGGCTATCATAGTAGATAGTATTTTTATGACAAATAATAAAGGTGCTAGTTGACTAATCTTGAAAATTCCCATAGTCTAATGGGAAGAAGCCATAAACATCTCACTTAACAACTGACCTAGGCCCTTGGCCAGATAATTTATAGTCTGTTCTCCAACCTCACAACAACCACCCATTTTGCAGATGAGGAAACTGAGACTTGGAGGAAACAAAGCACTGACCTGGTGTTATTCAGCTATATAATAATATGCTTATTCTTGAAGCTAGTGGACCTGCCTGACTCCAAAACCCATGCTCTTAGTCTTTCCTTCCTCCAATCTCTTCTCCCACCCTAAACACACACGAAATCCCTTGCAAATCACTCTGTGAATTTGTCTTCAGGTTTTCTAAAATGGCAAAAATTCCTGCCAGTACTTCTGTTTACTACCCCACTGGTTCCAGAATGCTACCATCCACTTTCTCTGGAGAAAAGCCTTTTGACAAAAATAGTTTCCAACTCAAGATGTCTAATTATTTGCTTTAGTGAAGAAAAACTGGGGAAAGTGTGATTTTGAGGTGCAACATGGAAATATTAAAACCAATGACAAGAAAAACAACAGCCACATTGAGGGCTGGCGGAGACTTTTTCCTGTAGTGTATATGCTACAATTATCTGCTAATGAGCAATTAATTCTCTGTTGAAGCCAATTCAGATTTGTTGAAGGACTCTGCAAGTCATTCACTGGCATACACAACTTCGTGTCGGACTCTGTGCAGCGTGTGTGTGTGTGTGTGTGTGTGTGTGTGTGTGTGTTTGGGTGTTTTTTTTTTAAAATAAAAACAGCAAGCTTCATGGAATTCTTTAAACACTGCAGGAAGTAACTAACATATATCGATCATTTATCCCAGGCTAGATGCTTCTGTGCTGCTCTAACTGATCTTCCACATACAATCCCAAGGCCTAGGCGGTTCTACCCCCATTTTTACAGGAAAAAAAAATCACAGAGGTCCAAGGATGGTCATGAAGCTGCCTTCAGGCCATGAGGCCAAGAGGTTCTAGACTACTCCCAGAACACCCTCGGATAATCCAAGGTAACTTAAGAGGAAATTGATTACTATTGTAGCCTGCAGCAAAAAAAAATTATTTTCTCACATTTCATCTCCTTTCAAATGTATGTAAATTTTGTATTATATTCTTTTTTGTAATATAGACTATAATATAATCATGTTATGTTCGTCTTAGAGCAAATGTACCAAATTATTTATCAGTTGAATTATTTAACTTTCTGGAAACTGATCCTTGGAACAGAGGTGACTTGTTGCTTGGCTATGTTTTTGTGAATGCTCAGCCCCAGCCCTCAACTACCTGGATGAACCCTGGATTGAGAAGCATAAAGTCTAACTTCATGGGTCTAATTATTATTATGATTATCATTATTAATATTACTTATAACAGTTCTGGGGCTTGAATTCAGGGCCTGGGATGTTTTGCTCAAGATTAATACTAATACTTGAGCCACAACTCTAATTCTGGCTCTTTGGTGGTTAATTAGAGGTAAGACTCTCACAGTTTTCTGCCCAGACTGGGTTTGAACTGGGATCTTCAGTTCTCAGCTTCCTGTGTAGTTAGGATTGTAAACACGAGCCACTGGCATCTGGCCAGGTCAAATTATTAAGATGTGTTTCAATACCTGGCTCAGGGTAGCTGCTGTGTTTGGATATGGTTTGAGTGGATGGAGGCGTGGTTCATGGTGAAATGGAAAATCTTTAAGAGATGGCACCTAATGGGAGGTCCTTAGGTCATCAGAGACAGGGCCTTATTACGGTAGTTCTTGTGGGACCCTGGATTAATTCCTGGGCCAGTGGGTTGTTATAAGAATGGGCCTGACCCTGAACTGTCCTGTCGCTTCCTGTCTGGAGTCTCCCTTCCCCCAGCTCAGGCTCCCACCACAACACCATCTACCACCAGGCCCTCCCCAAAGGGCTTCATCTTGGCGTCTTCTCCAAAACTCTGAGTTAAACAAACCTTTTTTTCTTTATAAAGTTTCCCAGCTTCATGCATCTTGTGACACTACTAAAACTCAGATGGATCCAGTAGTATATCTTTGTTTTGTTAACCACAGTCTTCAGGTGGTGAATGCTGTCACATCCATAATATTAATTATTTCAACCCAACGAGAGTTTATGATGTGCCAGACTCAGTGGCAGCCATGAGGCTCATCCAACCTCAAATGAGGTACTGACCCAGAACAATGGATTAGGGAGGCTCAGCCACCCAGCTGAGGGACTGGACTCCACTCCACCCAAGGCCCAAGCAGAGGAGGCTCATTTCACTGACCTTATGAAGGTACGAAAGCCGGTGGGTCCCAGCTTCATGGTCCCCTTGATTCCCAGGAATCGGATAAACAGATTGGCCATCCTGTCCACCAAGCGCAGGTAGTTGAACTGCTTTGCGTACTTGGGGAACACCTGTTTGAGGCAAATGGAGGGCAGGTGGGCCTCGGGGCTGCTGTTGGCTCCCCCAGCGTTCTTGCTGTCCACATCTTCCTTTCTGGCTACTGTTTTTCCAAGCTGCTGAGACCTGAAGTAATAAGGAATTCATGATATAGCCTCTGATGTCTCCATTTGAGATTTACGATAGCCCCAGAGGAAGTGTACTGCTGTGGTTTTTATTTTGCGGACCTCGGAAAGGTGACTTGCCCCAGGCTCCCACCGCTCGTGTGCAGCAGCGCTGGGCTTGAACCCAGGTGCAGTCGCCACTGGAAATGTATGCTTCTACTAGGCTATCAGCCTGTTTTCCCAATCCAGGAAACTTCCTTTACTGTACTCATGGCCCTAAGAGAATACTCGGCTATGAAGCAGGCTGGGTTTGATTTCAAACTCCTACTTGTGGGTAGTAATTGAATAATTAAGAAATATAAAAATCTCATTGAGGGCCTGGCAAGAAGCCAGAAGCACAGTTCACTGAACAATTTGCAAAGATGCATCAGTTACCCAATTCTAGGAACAGGAACAATTACATTTCCTGGCTTAACTGTTTTCTTTATTTGGAACTCGTACCAAAAAAAAAAAATGATCAGAATGTTGTGATTCCTTAGTCTGCATATTTTATTCAGACATTATTCTGAGAGTCAAAGTTAGCAGTTAATAATTCTCAAGTATCCACCGCTAACTCAGAATATCCTTTTCTTCTCCAGAACTTCCAGCACTTTCTCCTCACTCCAGATGTGTCCTCGCGTGAATGTCCCCGCTACCTGCCAGCTATCCAGGCAGGAAAACAGCATCAATGTGGGGGCCCTGCTCTACCTGCCCTGCCTCCACAGCCAGTTTTACCCCCTTGGTCTTGAAACCTGCTCTCACTCTGCCCTGCCTGGCCTGATTTGCAACGTCCTCTCTTCCTGACTCCATCTTGTATACTGCTACCTAAAGGGAACCTCTTCTTGAACTCAGGGCCTTTCATGCTTGCTTAGCATTTTTTGCTCAAGGCTTTCATGCTTGCTTACCGGTTTTGTTCAGGGCTGGTATTCTACCACTTGAGCCAAATCTCCACTTCTGGCTTTTTGGTGTTAATTGGAGATAAGAGTCTTAGGGATTGTTCTGCTAAGGCTGACTTCAAATTCTGATCCTCAGACTTCAGCCTCCTGAGTAGCTGGGAGTATAGGTATGAGCCACCAGCTTCAGACTGAGGCTATCTGGAGGAGGCAATCCTTGCTAACACTCTCTACTTTGCACTCACTCCTTATTCAAGCACTCAAGGTCTGATTTCTTTTCAGGCCTTATTTCTAGTCCCTGCCTGGCCCGGCATAGCCTTTCCTTCTGGACTTTGAACACTGACCCTGTCTGCACCTTGCTGCCTAGGCCCAGGCCTGTGAGACCCTGGTGCTCACTCTGCTCCCAGTTCCCTTCCAAACTCAGTGCCTCTCTGTGCTTGTAGCCTGCTTCCCTTTTGGGGCCCTGTTCTGCTGGGGCCAAAGGAAGCCCTCTGTCACCTGTGGGGACAGGACCCTAAGCCTATTAGACATGGTGGGTAAAATGCATCCTGTTTGATGATCTCATCCAGGGAAACTAGACTCATGCTCCATGGTACCAAACTCAATACCATTCTCTTCATGGAATGGCAAAGTTTCAGTGCACCTACATCCGGGAAAACACAATGTGAGGCCCCACACTGAACCTGGCACAGTCTGCCACTTTCAGGACCCACTGAGTCTCCTTGGCCGTGGATGCCCACTCTGTTCCTTGGTTATGCCCTCCTGTTTCCTGAGTCCTGCCTGGGCCACTCTGGTTTTGATGCCAGCCTCTCCTGCTATGCTGTGAGCTTCCCGAAGGCAGAGGCCACACTTTATCCAATGCTCCTACGAGAGGGCCCGGCACGTCGCAGGTGCCTGGGGACTGCTCCGCTGGATTTGGCGAAGTGGGAAAGTTTGCTTTGAATAGCAATGTGAGCCCTAAAGAAAATATCAAAGTTCTGCTGCTTTATATCTTATAAACCCTTCTAAATGGGAGAAGTCATTCAAGAAATATCTTCCCTGACAATCCTGTCCAAAAGGATTGTCTCATGCCAGTCAAAAGAGCCTGTCTCCAGGAAGATCTCCCCAGAGTGAAGAGAGGGGCCCAGAAAACCTGCTCACTGCTCCTTCTAAGTGAGTCTCAACTCTAGTCTCAAAGAAGGACAGGCAGAGGACAAAACAAAGGAAAAATCCCCTTGAGAGCTCACCAGTGTGGCGGCTTTGGGAAGACAAATGCTCCCCCTGTAAAGGGAAGGAGCCGGATCCCCCAGGAGTGGTAAATGTTCCCTTGGGTGTGCCACTTTCCTTCAGCAAAAGTGGTTTTGTCATTGTCACCTTGAACACTTCAGATAGTAAATACTAGTCAGGTGGTGACTTTTTAGACGAAAGAAGTGTTTCCTCACTAAGATTATAAAGAAGAAAAATGCAGGAAAAGAAGTGACACTCTTACAGGAAATTAGCTCTTCAATTGCTGGAGAAGTGGCAGATGCCGGCAGTATTAGCACTCAGGAGGTTTTTGTGAAGGGGAAATATACAGTTTGAACACACCAAACAACAATGAAAACAGCTCTGAGAATAACTCAATCCTCAGAGCTGTCCCACATTTGTGATTTTGTTTTGCTCTTTCTGCACCTTTGCATAGTCTTTGATTCTATCCCTGGTCGGGAAACTGAGACTTGGCAAGGTGTTGCTCTCGTTGCTCTGGCCAATTCTGAATTGGGCAGGATTATGAATCAGTTTTTCTAATACAGCCCTCAGTCTGCCTTGTTACCTCCTCATTTTAAAGCACATCACACATGATTCACAGTGGGGCCATAAAACCTAAATGTAACATGATGGTTTATTTTTAATTACAAGGAATTTTTAAATTGTAATTGATAGCTGGGTGCCAGTGGCTCACACCTATAATCCTAGCTACTTGGGAGGCTAAGATTGGGAGGATTGTGATTTGAAGACACCCTGGGCAGAAAACTTGATGAGACCCTTTGCTGAGAATTGCTAGATACAATAGACAATAGATAGATACAATAGAGTTTCCTTAAGTAGGCAGCTCTCTGCCCAGGCACATGCCCTTGTGGGTACAGAGACCCTGTCTTAAAAAATAATCAGCACAAACCAAGGCTGGAGGTATGGCTCTGCATGCAGTCAGAGCAACTGTCATGAAAGCATGAGGCTCTGAGTTCAAACCTGAAGAAGGAGGAGGAGGAAGAGTAGGAGGAGGAGGAAGAGGTAATTTGTGCTCCTTGTAGACATTTTGAGACATATCCAAAAGAATCAAAATCACTTCTAATGCCCCAGAGTTTGAAGATACATGCATTAGTGTTTTGGTGTCTAAGTTATTGATAGGAAAATATTACATTAAATTACATTAAATATTACATTAAAAACTTTGTGCTCACAATGAGACGTACAAGTCGTTATGTCGAAAAACGAACTTTACAACTTTGGTGTGTGGGGGGTAGGGATGCGAAGGGATGGGAAGGGGAAACAAAGGAGGAGGCTACAATGCTTGATAAGAAATGTGCTCATTATCTTACCCATGTAATTGTAACCCCTCTGTACAGTATGTTCACAATAAAAATATATTTAAAAAATAAATAAAATGGAAATTCACAAGAAAAAAAAAAAACGTTGTGCTCATCCAAAGTATCTTCTCATGGCACTTAGGTCAGATTTCACGAGCACATTTCCCATGGACATGTATATATTCCATATGAAGCCTGAACAAGAACATAATTAATTCCTTCTTCACTTAGATACTTAGTGATATATGAACTGGAGTGTGTTTAAAGACAGCTTGGCGAGCATTTTCCTTTCTAAGCAATGTGCTTCTTTTCCCAAATACCAAATGCTACAGCTACAGTGGCTTTGGAGATCATTCCACCCAACAATGTCATTTATTTTTGTCATGTAAAACATACACGAGAGTGTACCCAATTCACCATTTTAAAGTGTGCAGTTTGGTGGCATTTAGGACATTCATGAGGTTATATCATCATCATCATCATCATCATCATCATCATTACCTAGTTCCAGAATATTTCATAGCCCTATCATTTTAGAGAAGAAACTGAAACCCTGGTCAGTAGGGACATTAGTAACAATAGATGTTTTGGAGATAAGAGTCTTACAGACTTTCCTGCCTGGACTGGCTTTGAAACGGAATCCTCAAATCTCAGCCTCCTGAGTAGTTAGGATTACAGGCACCTGGCACCAGTGAATCGCTTAATCAGTGTATCCAGGGTGGTGGCCTCAGTTAGGCCTCCACACCTACTGGAGTTTCCCAGTGGTGTTCCAGTGAATAGCTTCCCCCCCCATCCACTCCCCCGCCCCCCACTACATCCTGACTCAGCAAAATGAGTCTGTGTTCTTTTGCAGGTTTCTGGGTCTACTGACATTGAACATCCCTACTCTTCTAGAAGTCCCATCGGGAGTCTCAAGCCCACCAGCCAGGCGGTTTTATTCACCTGGATGAAGCGCTAACAATGTAGCTGATATATAAGCAGGGATGAAACAATGAGAAATGGTATCTTTGCTGGAGATAATTGCAGTGATCACATTGAGAGCCAAGCCATGGCAAATACTGTAAAATCCTGTTGTTACTTAATAGCATTTTAATGGAAATGTTGAGCTTATGAAAGTGACTGGTAAAGAAAATATAAATCAAGCTTATGAGTCCTTTGGGATCAGTTTGGCTTTTTTAAAAAAATGAATTGGGTATCTCCTTGATTCATTAAAACAAGGCAAAGAATTCTGGAATATCTTGTCTATTAACATTTTTTTCAAATTAAATGGAATTCTTTTTCAAATGAAATGGAATTCCCTTTCATTAAAACTTGAAATGTTAACCAGGTGTTGGTGCCTCATGCCTATGATCCTAGCTATCTATGCAGGAGGCTAAAACCTGAGGATCACAGTTCAAAGTCTGCCTGGGCAGGAAAGTCTGTGAGACTCTTATCTCCAATAAATGACCAAGAAAAAGTCAGAAGTGGAGCTGTAGCTCAAGTGGTAGAGCACTAGTCTTGCGTAAAAGAAGCTCAGGGACAATATCTAGGCCCTGAGTTCAAACCCA